GAGTGCGTCGTCAGGCACTGCCGGTGAGCCCAAAAACTGCAAAAATCGCGGAAAATGCACCAAAATCGGCCCAAAAACCGCCAAAATCCGCCCAGAAACACCCCAGAAACACCCAAAATCACCCCAGAAACCCCCAGAATCGCCCCAGGATCCACCCAGATCCACCCCAAACTGCAGCAGCGAGTGCGGCGTCAGGCACTGCCGGTGAGCGAGAAAACCGCAAAAATCGCGGAAAATGCACCAAAATCGGCCCAAAAACCGCGAAAATCCGCCCAGAAACCCCCCAGAAACCCCCAAAATCACCCCAGAAACACCCAGAATCACCCCAGGATCCACCCCAAACTGCAGCAGCGAGTGCGTCGTCAGGCACTGCCGGTGAGCCCAAAAACTGCAAAAATCGCGGAAAATGCACCAAAATCAGCCCAAAACCCGCCAAAATCCGCCCAGAAACACCCCAGAAACACCCAGAATAGCCCCAGAAACCCCCAGAATCACCCCAGGATCCACCCCAAACTGCAGCAGCGAGTGCGGCGTCAGGCACTGCCGGTGAGCGAGAAAACTGCAAAAATCGCGGAAAATGCACCAAAATCGGCCCAAAACCCGCCAAAATCCGCCCAGAAACACCCCGGAAACACCCAGAATAGCCCCAGAAACCCCCAGAATCACCCCAGGATCCACCCAGATCCACCCCAAACTGCAGCAGCGAGTGCGGCGTCAGGCACTGCCGGTGAGTGCCAAAATCCACCAAAACCCACCCAAAATATACCAAAATCCACCCAAAATTCACCCCAAATCCACCAAAACCCACCTAAATCCCCCCAGAATCCACCAAAATCCCCACAAATCCACCCAAACTCCACCAAAATCCCCCCCAAACTTGGGGGCCAAAATGCCCCAAATGGCCCCAAAAGGCGCCTGAAGCAGGTGCCCAAAATCCCCACAAATTGCCCCAAAACGGCCCCAAGTCACTCCTGGATGTCCCTCAGCTCCAAAACGGCCCCAATTTGCTCCCCAAAAACCACTTCCTGACACAATTTGCACTGGAATTGCCCCAAAATGCCCCAAAACGCGCTCCGAAACAGCCCCAAACACCCCGATTTCCTCCCAAAATAGCCCAATCCCCTGAAACGCACCCAAAATGCCCCAAAATCCCCTCAGAAACGCTCCTTCCCCAACGCTTCGTTTTCCACCTTTCCCCCCGCCCGAAACGCTCCAAAATCCATCCAAATCCCCCCAAAACGCCCCGGCTCCCTCCGGGGGCTCCGTTTTAACCGTTTTCCCCCTTTTTCGCCCCAACAGCGACGTCTTCCTCGCCTGGTTGGCCTCCCGCAACGCCAGCAACAGCGTCGTCTTCGTGAAATAGCCCCCGGACTCGCCGCCCCCGTTTCCCCGCCGTTTCCCCCCAAAACGGGGAGGGAAAAAAACACGCCTGCCCGCAGCCTGTTGCCTGTTTTGTGGCTTTTTTTGCCTCAAAAAAGCGGCCCGCGGCTACATGTTTTTGGGCTTGGAGATGATGCCGTCCGGGTAGTGCTGCTTGAACTGGGCCACCACGTCGGGGTCCAGGAGGTGGATCCCGTCCAGCTGGTTCCCCAGCGTGATCCTGGGGGGAAAAAAGGACATTTTGGGGCGTTTTGGGGCGGGACGCGGCGTTTTGGGGCAGAACGCGGCGTTTTGGGGCAGAACGCGGCGTTGTGGGGCGCTCACCAGTTGGGTTGCACGTTGTGGGGCCGCCCGAAGAGCTCGATCTTGCGGGTGCCGGGCGAGAGGCGCTCGATCATCCCGTAGATCTCGTCGGGTTTGTGGCTCGTCGAGCGCACCTGGGGGGTTTTTGGGGCGAATTTGAGGGATTTCGGGGCATTTTGGGGCGTTTTGGGGTGTTTTCGGGGCTCACCTCGGCCACGATGACGTCGCAGTCCAGGCCCCGGTTGAAGCCCTGCGGGTTTCCCTTCACGCCGACCTGCGCCGCAAGGGACAAAATGGCGGCTCCGGGGCCACAAAATGGCGGCGGGCGCCCCAAAAACGCCCGAATTGAGCCCAAAAAGCGGCCCCGGGGGCAAGGGAGGCCCCCCCGGGAGGCCGAACGTGCAAAGGGACCTAAAGGGACCCAAAATTCGCTCCCCAAGACCCAACGCCAGCCCCAAAGACCCCAGATTCGGCCCCAAAGACCCCAGATTTGGCCCCAAAGACCCCAGATTTCAGTCCAAAACCTCCAAATTTCAGTCCAAAACCCCCAAATTTTGGTCCAAAACCCCCAAATTTTGGTCCAAAGACCCCAAATTTTGGTCCAAAGTGGCTCCAGAAAAGGCAACAAAGGCCCCAAGACCCCAAACTGCCCCCAGAACACCCCCGAAAAGGCCCCAGGGACCCCCAATTTGGCCTCCAATGACCCAAAATCGGCTCTTGAGGAGGCCAAATCGGCCCCCAAGACCCCCAAACAACCCCGAGACCCCCCAAATGGCCCCATTCGACCCCAAAGTGGCTCCCCAAACCCTCAAATCGGCCTCTTAAGACCCAAATGTTGCCCCCAAAGACCCCAAACTGGCCCCAGAAGACCCCAAAGGGGCTCCCTAGATCTCAAAGTGGCCCCCAAGACCCCAAACTGCCCCCTAAGACCTCAAAACGGCCTCTAAGACCCAAATGTTGACCCCAGAACCAAACTGGCCCCAGAAGACCCCAAGGGGGCTCCCTAGACCTCAAAACAGCTCCTAAGACCTCGAAACGGCCTCTAAGACCCAAATGTTGCCCCCAAAGACCCCAAACTGGTCCCAGAATACCCCAAAGGGCCTCCCTAGACCTCAAAGTGGCCCCTAGGACCTCAAAACGGCCTCTAAGACCCAAATGTTGCCCCCAAAGACCCCAAACTGGCCCCTAGGACCTCAAAACGGCCTCTAAGACCCAACTGTTGCCCCCAAGGACCTCCGAGACCCCCAAAGGACCCCAGAGCCCCCCAAAAGGGGCCCCGCACCAGGCAGTGCTCCTTGCCGTGGTTGAGCCAATGGCCGGTGCGGCCCGTGCGGATGATTCGCTGCAGCTGGTTGGTCTTCACCCAGATGATCTCGTCCACCCGCTCGTACCTGGAGGCCGAGGGCCGGAGAGGAGGCTCCGTGAAGGAGAGGTCAGGGAGGAAGAGGAGGCTCCATAAAGGGGATGTCAAGGAGGAGGAGGAGGCTCCATAAAGAGCCATCAAGGAGGAAGAGGAGGCTCAGTGAAGGAGAGGTCAGGGAGGAAGAGGAGGCTCCGTGAAGGAGACGTCAAGGAGGCTCCATGAAGGGGATGTCAAGGAGGAAGAGGAGGCTCCATGAAGGAGAAGTCAAGGAGGCTCCATGAAGGAGAAGTCAAGGAAGCTCCATGAAGGAGATGTCGAGGAGGAAGAGGAGGAAAGACGAGGACAGACGGGATCGTCGGCACAGGGAGCCACCAAACTCACCCCCAGAGGTTGAGGCACTCGCGGCCCAGCTCCATGGCCCTGCCGGGGGCAGAAGATGAGGAAGAGGCAGGGTTTTTTCCCCAAAAAACCCCAAACGTGGCGGGTTTGGGGCTCGGGAGGCTCCGCTCACCGCCCGGTGACCCAGAGGAAGAGGAAGCCCTCGTCCTGGAGCACGGGGATGTTGAGGCGCCGCATCTCGTCGTCGGTCAGCGTGCCGTAGGGCAGCTCCATGTGGATGTCCCACGGCGGGTCGGCCATGACCACGGCGAACTTGCCCAGGATGCTCACGTCCAGGTAGCGGATGTCGCAGCAGATCCACTGCGGGGAGAGGACAACGTGGAGGCCGGCGCGATCCCGCGGGATCCGTCCCGGTTTTCCCCGTTACCTGCGGCGGGAAGAGGCGGTCGGCGCCGGCGTCGGAGCCCACGGCCTGCGGCAGGGCCAGCTCCTGGCCCGGGTTGTGGTCGCGGGCGCCGGGAGCGGCGGCGGGCGGGCAGGCGGGCGT